TCGCAATGTGTGTCGGTACTCAGGAAGTAAAATGTCGCAATGTGTGGTATCCAGGAAATGAAATATCGAGAGGTGTGGCGGTATTCAGGCGGTAAAATATCGCAATGTGTAGTAGTGCACAGGAAGTAAAATATCACAATGAGTAGTGCTCATGGAGTAAAATATCGCAATAGGAGTGACGGCACTCAGTGAGTGAAATATTGCAATCCCTCTTTGCCCATGGAGTAAAATATCGCAAGGTGTGGCGGTACTCAGTGAGTAAAATATCACAATACCTGGTGCACAGGAAGTAAAATATCGCAATGCATGGCGGTACTCAGGGAGTAAAATATAGCAATACGTGGTGACCAGAGTATAATTCATCGCAATGCATGCTGCCTAAGGCATAATCTATTACAAATTACACATTGCACATTGCCGTCAAATCAGAACCCATCTGAAATGAAGGAAAATGTACAAATACTAACGAAAATTGAGAAACTCTAATCTTAGCGCTCTAATGCTTCGTCTCCGTGAGGTTGACTGCACATAATTGATGTATGAATCGCATCGTAATTTCACTCATGGAGAATAACGTTATTTCTCGTTTGAATCGTTGTACCCGAAATTAGCATTGAATGTGTTCATTTTATCTCTAGCCCACAGCAACAGCTCAACAGCCGTCGTGCATATTTACAACACACACATACTACCGACGTGAATGCGATGATACAGCGACATGGGATGTTTGAAGCGGCGTTTTCGAGTGCCGTTCTTGTTCACATAATAGCACAGCGTATAATTACTTCTGAGCTAAAAAAACTAAATGGGTGACGTCACAGACGGCTACTTGCTTCCAAACAAAGTGTTGTTTTTTGCACGGCATATTTTAGTGGACTCGCTTACTTTATAATACACCATACAATACATGCAAGGTGAAAGGAGTCTGACTTAATTGCCACTTAAAGGCTGCAGTTCAAACATAGCTTAATACAAGTTATAATTCAACACTGCCAAACAAGAGAAAAACACTAAGTACATTAAGGCTACCCGATCTAGTAGGTGCGCTACTGTACAGTGTACGTCACTCGTCTCACATGTTTTGACTGTGTGGCACAAATGTCAATACATCGCCACAGTAATACATCCCCTCACATCGTTCATACGACCCAATCACACGTCGCGTCTTCCCTGCAGGTGAATTCTCGAATCGAACACTTAAGAATCATATTAGCCTCGTTTGGTGACTCAATATTACAATGCGTTAATTTTGTTTGTAATTAACCAAGCCTCGCCCTGCAGGCTGAGTCCAAACTCGTATAAGTATATACAACACCACGAACAAAAACGCTGTGGCACTCGCAAGGGAAATCACTTCGCCTACTCTGTCATGGTTTGATATCATGCCCTTCCAGCTATACATTCGAGTATTCAACGATCATCAGAGAACTGGCTAATACCTCTGACCACCAAGAAAAAGTTTAGTGATCTGAGGTAATGATTGGGTGGAAAATTGCCACCATGGAATAAAACCTAAAATGCATACAATACTACATGTATTTGTTTATTATTCGACTCGGTCGTTATTGACCGGACTGAGACATTCATTTATTTGATAGTCTGCTTGAGAGGGATTGCAACGACGGTTAGGCGTGTCTTATCATCGAGAGTTCAACTCAAAACAACTTCCAAGTTTATTATTTTGCCTACAGGCGTGTTTCAACACACAGAAGGGGGTAATGGATCGATGTCGATTACATAGAGCATGCAAAGTTCAATCCCAACATTGGTATTTATTCGCACCATATGATTTTTAGTGAAAAGGGTTTTCTTTGCCGATGATCTAAACAGACACAGAGTAAATTAATAAATAAATTCGGGATAATAAAAACAGTGACGCGGAAAAGAACGTATGAAGTCTTATCACGAGATCGTTCGCCAGAGAGATTACACGCGACGGTATTTTGACTGACGTACAGTGGCGAGAAGATGAGCTTGGAATCCAGTCCCCTTTACAAACACTGTGGCTTCATACAAAGCAATACAGCAGATCAAGCAATCACACTGCATCCTCGTTATGCCGTTCCGTATTTTAAGTATTCTAAACATTAAGCACTATCAAGTTAATGCGTCAAAGGAGAATAGCTTTCATTTCCATTGTAATCCAATCGGTCTCGGCTAAATTGGCAAATAAAATAGCTAACCGCAATATGAATTGAATAACGCGGTAATATCACGTGGCTCATTACCCGAAGTAGATTTATCTTAATATTTAGAACACAAAAAATACGAATAGTCTAACATGTTAATCGCTGATTTCGAACCAAAACGTGATTTATAATCTTTTTTCAATCAAATATTTATTTTATCTAAAACTGTACATTTGTAATTTACAAAACAAAAGAATCAATTACAAATATAAATGTATAATTCATGTACATTGTTTTTTAACAATTCTTTTAATTTTCGAAGCATTTTGGGGGACTTTTACAATAATTTAAGTAATTTACACTTACTGGAATCAAAGTATCCAGATGTTGTAGCGAGCTGAAAAAATACGTTTATCATCAAGAACACTCGTTGGAGATGATTAACACCAAACAATCGACTGGTGGGTATTCGTCAGGCTTGTCAGTCAGCGTGAACTCGTCATAAATTATTGACACGTACAACCAATCAATTAGCAATATTAAAAATCTTCGAAAATATAACCAACAGATTACTAAATAGGTTTTGGTATGCGTGCCTGTCAAGCCAGTACAATACGATGATTGATAGGCACACATTAAAACAATCGAATTTTACACTCCAATTGCCAGGCAGACTCCTTAACCCCATGGCGAATAACAGATGTAGGAATTCTTGAGCGCGGAGCGGCGGGCGTGGGTTTACGTTTTATGCTACTCTTCAAGGACTGCCGCCGCTGAGTCAGCTGTCGGAACTCTACTTCGTCACCCAATACAACAGAATGATTTCAGTTTCAAGCGAGTTTAACATGAGCCCGCCTTGTTTAACAATATGTAAAATAGCACTTCAATTGGTGATTTCCGTAAGCTTTCAACTCTTGAAAACGAACCTACGTGACTTGCATACTAATCATTCTAGTTTATGACCGGTCTCGACAAAACGGATAAATGGTTAAAGCAAATGAAGTTGCATTTTTATAACTCAAATTACAACTTCGGAGAAAATTTAGGCTATGAGCTATAAGCTCCATGCACAATAGTAGAAGTTATAGAAGCATTCCAGTATGGCGGCCCTAAAAGCATCCATAACGTGAAATTGATTCGAATGCAGACAAGTTTACGATTGACGTTTTCGCAAGTATGCAATCTTTTCGGTGATGCACATTCGGAGAACGTTGTTGTTGTCAGTGATCACGTGACACCGATTTATTCAAAACTTAACTTAATGTTCACCAACGTACGATCGATCACTATTTGTTTCTGAACTATAAAACTGAATTTCCAAATAGTAGTCTCGGTTGTAGACCGAGATATGCATAGTCGGAGAGGAAACGTACAAAATGAAACATTTTATTCAGCAAACTGTCAAAACACGCTGCATTCTTCATCATGGTGTTACCAGCGATGTCACCGTACAGAGCATGATGGCGTAATTAAACAAGTGATATTAATAATGATTTGTTATTTAACATGATTTATTATTTGCATATCCAATTTAAAGGAGATATGTCGACTATAATATAGGAAATAACATATCTTCTAAAATAAAATACCCCCAAAGTCTTTCAATTAAAATACCAAAATTGGAAATAAGAAATAAAACACAGCATAATATATTACAACACTGTATAAAAATCCACTGAAATTGGCTACAGGTAAATTTGCATAATACACAAAGTCGATTCCCTGTTCCGCAGTTGCTTTTTCTGGAATATATAATACATTCTTAAGATAAGATATCAAGAGACGCAATAATATGAAAATCTAATCTTCTTTAAGCAGTAAATAACATAAAAACGTAATCGGTTTTTCTCCTTCTATATACCTTTCAAAATAAATTGTTCATTTTGGCGTAAATATTTCATTTCCTGTGGGAGGCATGCGGTTGATCCGGAATCTGGGCTCTATACGAAATGAAAAAAAAAAATAACCCACTATGTATTGGATATTTGTGTGAAAAGAAAGCAAAAATATCAAGCCAACTGGAACCGGAGCCATTCTTTCTAACCGTCCTTTCATCCTAACCCGACTCACTTCTCTGCAAAAACCGCTATCGTCTTCGGTATTTCGTCTCTCAGTGGTTTAAATTACGTATCTAAGCCCATTTTCCCCGTCAATTTCCGAATGATAATCAAGTTTTGGTATTGATTGTTGTCTCAATAAAGGAGTGTACAGCAGACGTAGAAGGAGATTATTGACAATTCTTGCAACGATAATTGGGAGTGTTGTAGCGATAGAATTGGATAAACAAACAGTGGAAGCAGACTTCAAATGATGACGACTCTCAACTAGGGCATTAGAAAAATATACTTTGCAGCTAAAAAATATGGGATTCTGAAATATGTTCTGAGAAAAAATGGAAGCAGCTTATGACAGACTAACTTAATTTCTCAATATTATTTACACGGTACTAAGATAAGAGAATGCTGTTCAGAAGCAACGTTGCCAGGGCGACATGTTGCCAAGGTGTTGAAGGGGCACTGTTCAGTGAATTGTCATTGTCTGAGGAGTCCGAGTTAGAGTCTCTTGATAAGATATTGATGCCACCGCACTGAACCAGTGGCGTTTGGTATGACGTCGGTCGTTTATCGGCCGTCGTTGGGTTGCTACCATCGCTAGGTCGCTGGCCGTTGTACAAGAGCACCGTGCGGCGAAATGCGTCATACTCCATTCGCATCAGTTCGTATTCAGTGTGAGGCAAGCGTATTCCCAAAGCTGCACAGCCGTAGGTCTGCGTAACATCCTGCTCAGTGCCAAGTTTCCACGTTCCTTGTTGTCCACACAATTCGTCCCCTTCGAAAACGTTTAGCAGTTCCGTCGTACCAGTATCCTTGGGTGTGATCCTCATTTCAGTTGTTATAAAGTCATACTCGGTGCCACCCCTCACAATATCCGATTTTAATCCCTCCGAGTGATACCCCTTCGCATACAACGAGAAAGTTGGATTTCTGCAGAAAGGGTCGGAGTAGTGGTGGTAATAGCCTTCCCAGGTGTGGTTGCCATGGAAAATTAGGTGCCTAATTAGAAAGAATACCTGAGGGCGCACTTCACATCTCGAACTGACCCACTCGCCGTGGAGGATGACGGGGTATTCGGATTGAGCTGGGAAGATCGGAGGATTGACGTCATCGGAATTGTCGAGAAGTTGGCAGACGCTGCAATTGTCCTGTAAAAAATAAATATTAAAAACAGTTAACGACGGCTGACGTTTTTTTTTTTTTATAATGGGTGTACATTAATAATATTTTGACAGAAGAGAAATGCTATATACATTCCCACTTATTCGTGCCTCGCAAATCAATATAAAAATCGTTCACAACACGTGACATGTCAATCGTTTGCGCGCCAACAAAATGTAATAAAAATAATGATCAATGGCAATTTGTTTCACAAAATGCCTCGTTGCTTCACATTCAACACATTCACAGTGGCTACATTAGTTGTATAACAAGTTCATTTCAGAATATCACCTGCAGCCATGACTACAATAGTTGTCACGTATAACAGTCAAGTTCACTACTGCAACTGGGCACACTATGATGAATAGATATGGGTCATGTGTTCCGCTGGGACACACAGACGAGGTCCATGAATCAAAATACCTTACTTGGGAACAGGGCAATAAAACGAAAACGTTAAGGGGTCGATGAGCTCTGTCGTGACATACATCAATATTTGATACGAATACATATCCAATAGCATTTCTGAGCATCGAGCTTTTTTTCTCCTCCGTGCGACCCCAGTCACCATATATTTAATTTATAGCCAATTTCAATGTTTTAAAATTATTCATAGTTTTTTAGGGTAAGATTTATCTTAAGTCCTTTCTGGTAAATCTCTGGACGCATGAGATAAAGAGATTTGAGGGTTAATGGGGAACGCAGCTAAAGTTATACATCTTGTAAATCATTTTGCTATATGACATTTGCATACAATATGGCTGACACCTGTAAATCCCTCATAAATCGCGTGACTCGAATAGCGATGAAGTTGGCCGTGGGCACTTTGACAATGATTTGTTTTCATTTAGATGTGCCGGAGGCGAGACATTTGTAACTATATGCATTCCACAACTTACAAACTTGCTCTGGGACGAGGCTGGTCCGACGTGACGAGTAGCATTTTTCAATTGTGAATTCCTATTCAGTGCAATATGTACGTGGGATTGTAACTGTGCATGTGACTTTAAAACTCGCCAAATAAAAACGACACAACACAAACGAGCATTAGATGATAATAAAACAACGCTTTCAGAGTTACTAGGTTGCCGAAGAAGCCGTCCGCTGTATTTGTGCGCGAGACAGTGGGGACACAGACCAATGCATTTGTGCGTTCGAGCGCCAGTCGTGCACTGAATATAAATTGATTGAATATACACCGACTGGTGACATATCGATACATTATACAAGAGCTTCCGTCATTTACAACAATTTATTTTAATAAATTGATACCAATTGAAATTAAGTGGAATCGGTAATTGCACGTAAATTGTATATGCTCCATATCTTAGCAAACAAGGACAAAGAACACAGGGGAGAGTAATCTGGACCCACCCCACCACATCCCCACAGCTCCATTGGCATGTCGCAAACTTAAAGACTTATTAACGAAGAAAATCACTTAATGTCTTGGAAAGACTTTAAATCTTATTTAAACCAGGTTGCCAATTTATTTGATTGTCAGGTGGATTGATGAGCAAGCCTTGTTACTAGACAGCTGGGAAATGAAACGTAAACGTATTCATATTAACTTAACGTGTCTGCATTTATTCCGCCTCTGAGTTCACCATCGCCGACACTGCGCCCTGATTTTCCATCCTAACCCCCAGTTCAAATCAAGCTATTGCAGAGGTCTTAATTCGCCCAAGTGAGTGCGGGTTTTACATCTCAAAGGAACCGCGGGAAAGGGAGGTTAATTTGCAAGTCAGAATTAGTTAACTCTCATCTTCAGAAGTTTTACGTGGTAATTTACAACTTTAATACCGCGCATGATCCTGTCAGTGCTGACACTGATGGTAATATGTACTAAACATACACTGGAGACGAAACAAGGTATTGTATAACAGTAGTTCATATCATCCACATTTTATATATTCGTACCTGAACTCGCGATTTATTACCATCACTATTAAAACAATTTATACGATTACGAGAGTACAGGCCGCGACGCGAGAAGTCATTTTCTTGATCTGACCTGGTGTATACATGGGTCACTGAGTTTAAATGATAGGCAGCCTTAGGAAAGCCCCACAGGCACATGAAATTCGACATAAACCCGTCATAACCATTCGTTTCCTTATACATCAGTTCAGTATTGTGGCAAAAAACAACACTTAAAGAAGGAGGAAATTTGAATACAAATAAGTCAAATTACACTCCAAATAAAATCTGCCATTCCATGGAACAAACGGTGTCATTCAAATATGCAAATTTGCACAATATTTGCTGCACGTGATTGGTTAATCAATTTATAGTGAGGCTTATGCAAGCATGCCCTGGCAGTCGAATGTAATATTTCGTGTAGCAATTACGCCCAATTTTCATTTCGATAAACATCGGTTTTAAAACGGTCTTGTTCAACAGAAACAAAATATTATTTCGTGCTCCTACTTGGTCGTCATATAACAGTGCGAAAACGTTTCCTTTTTTTAAAGTCCGGATACTCCCCCACTTACTCAAAAAAACACATCGCCGTTTCCCGATACTACCTAGCTTACTCAATAAAGCGCATCGTTGTTTTAAAAACGCCAGCGTGTGACTCACACGTAGTTGATATAGATCTCTTAAAAGTTAATCTGCATCTACCAATTAATGTTGTCGAACGAGCCTAAATTCCAGCACACCCATCGATGGCACATAAAGTGACTCCCGAGTGTACTCTTATCCATCTAGTTTGTCAATGATGATTGTAAGGATAAATACTACTATTAATTTGTGCCGTCCCTGGGGATAGTTTGCATTCCCTGGTCGTAATGACATCGTCATTCACTAAGCACTACTGACAATACACAAATGTTATTACCTGAATAATGCAGTGTGTACGTTCGAATTCCACCACAGCAATATTTTAGTTAGCCTCTAAAAATTTTATCCGTAAGTCGCATTCAATTTTGACGGAAAGAAGGCTGTATGAATGACGCTTTGATCGTAGCATATGTTATCCCTATGTTGTGTTTTCGTGCGAATGATTAGAAACGACTAGAACTGAATCACAACTGCGATCAGCTTTCTTCGGATTAAGCATGGAGGTAGATAAGATAGTATTTCTGACAAAAAAAAAACGCAAAACATATTTATATTTTCACATATATATTTTTTTCACGCAAAACTGAAATTTGATGAAGCGTCGGATCGGGAGGGCAGAAAAACAACAACTTAGATTAAGTGACAACAACAAGTGACAAACGGTACAATGGGTTGGAATGGCATATTTGTTAAGCTGCTGAGGCGATAATTCCAAAGGTCACACTGAGGCGCTCGCTACATCACAATATTGCTCATTTTACTCAGGTTCGCTGTTCCGCAGTCTGTCGAGGTAACAACATGTAAAGGGCCAATAATCATGCGTACAGTCAATTCCTAATTATAACGTGCATGAGTGTGAATGAGACATTCATAAATTCGAATCACACGGAGCGAAATAAATTATTAGCGAGTGTTTTGAATCATTAGCAAAGCAATCGTCGTCACGCATTGGGCGCACTGGTGTGAGCAGGTGCAAATTAGCGTTGATGCACCACCGAATCTCCTTCACCTCCAGAGTAAGAAAGATGGGGCAATGAGCGCAAACACACAGTGAAAGGCCACGTGCATGTCCCCTTATTATAATCAGCATATACGAAATTTAAAAAAAGTAGAAACAGTCAAAATGTTGTGCGTCAAATATATACTCCCAGACGATGCCAAAGAATATGGGGGAATCAGTTTCATGCGTACTGAAAATTATTGGACGATTAAGATGGCCGCATTACAATAAGGTGGCCCAGCAGTGAAAATGTACGTTTATACGCGGTTCTTCTAGTAACCGTGGTTTATATATATAAAATTGTGCTTCCCTAAGTTTATCGCGACAATCCTAGGGTAGGGTAAACATGGAGACTGGTCGTCGAAATAATTCGCAAAGAATGCAAATTCGTCATATTATTTTTTTATTAAAATTGCAACATTTTAAAGTCAATCGTACGTTAAATTCCAGTACTAAAGCAGAAACGAAGAGTGGTATTTTGGCGGGAAAATGGTTTACTACGAAACTGTGCATGTTGTTGACAATCCCGCTTATTACGCTATTGGCACTCAAGTTTTAATTCAGCCAGGGCTCGATGGGAATAAGTGGTGACCTGCGACGTTGAGGGCAATGTCCCGCAGGCGATGCGTCACAGTTGATACTAATCTCTCTTCAGACTGGGTAACACTGTTATATTGTCATTTCTAGGTGGCCATGACTGGCGTTTTGGACGAGAAAAGACAGATCGTTTCGGAATTCCGATAGCTTGGAGCGAGTTGCAAGAATGTATCGGTTTACGCTGCAGTAACAGTCAGCTAATCATGGGAGATGTTTGGTGCATTGTATCCAGACCGTGACATGGTGAATAAAGGTGTGCTCGCCGCGTCGGTGGCTGGCACTTGGCATGACGGGTAGTCCGCTCTCACTTGGCGTTAATACGGTATTGCGCAGCGGGGAACAATTAACCTTTAACTAGCTTCATACCGTAACCTATACTATCACCCCAAATACCGTAATTATTGATATCTGTATGAATGTAATTAAATACGCATTTTAATTAACGGCACGTAGCGGAAATGCCAGGACGTCCACCATTTATCAATTCTCACTAGGAAGGATGGGCATTAACAAGTTTAAAATTGGTGGTTTGGTTTAACTATTCAGTATCCAAACCAAAACTCAAAAGCCAAAACGGTTTGGCGTTTTATCAAATGTCAAGTTGAAAGTAGCGAGCCAAACACGCGTATCAATAAACGCATGGAAACATTTGAAATATAGAAACCATTGCAATGCGAATTCACTTGCATCGTATTAAACAGAATTATACAAAGCTAGTATCATCCTCATCTGTCGGCAAACATCAAAGAGTTAAAAATGTGGGATTTCTTCAGCTTTTTCATCACGATGACATCGAATCATCCTCAGAGTATAATTTGCCGCCAATTGAAGCCCCTCAAATCATCGATTTTGTTCGCAGGTTTTTTTTTTCATTTTGAGTATTTTTAATCAGTGTCTATACGTAGAATATAATCGACTCTATTCGGATTTTTTTCTCTAATCTCCATTTTTATCAGACTGAACACTCGAGCAGAAAAAATTGAATATTTAGATTTTATCCCATCACTGTCGCGTGTTTTTTTTAACAACAAAAATAATAAAAAGTCGAACAAGTAATTCGGGAAACTTTGCAAATTTACTGACACAACTTCACAGATAGTGAGCAATGGAAAATATAACAGTTAACAAAGAGTGTATTTTAATAGATGGACCGAACCGGACTTGACAGGTAAGGCGACTGTTCAATAATGCATCGCGGAAATTGTTTTGCAAATTGATTAGTACATATGATGCTCGATATTTCTCACACGAAGACGCTAAATTGGCATATTTGAATGTAATCAAAGAAAAAATAGGGTCATTGCACTTTTCATTATATAGATTCGGATACATTTGTCTGTCCATGATTGTTGCGTTTTACTTCGTATAACAATTTTCTTGACTATTGAATCCAAATGTTTACAAACCATGAACGACACAAAATAAATAATACTTCTAACGTACGTAATATTGACATGTTCACAGCATACTGTTCCTATTAACATGCGGGGTTGGGTCACGTGACCTCAGCGGGGCAAGTATGTAAGTGGGCATATCTGAAATCGACACGGCGTACCCAACTGTGATGGAGTCCTTGTACGGGGGTCAGCGAGATGGCAGGGTACGATAACATTCTGCCTCATCTTGAAATGTAACCACTAAATGTCCACTGTTATTTGTATTATTTCCCCGGGAATGAAAAGAATACGCGCTAATGTAATATTATGCCTGAGAATGTATTCAGATAGGGTTATCTAGTCAGAGGGGAGTAGCGCCATTTCCGCTCTTTAGACAGCTTGAAACACGCGTTTAGAATGGCGTGAACAGAAAGAACAATCTTGGAGCATGTCACATGATGGGATCTAGAGCTCTCACCGCACAACACACAACAAAACGTATTTCTTGTTCTGACCTATTCAATAATATGAGCTTATGAGTTCTGAAATTCCTTCTGGTGCGTTTTATTTTGCGTTTAATCCTATTTGGTTAAAGAAAAAAAATACACCCGTACAAAGCGCGCTGGCCATTAATTCTGGGCACAGACCTATTAGCGATGAGAAGCGTCTGATAACGAGACAGATCGGCAGATGAATCAGATCGATGGAGCAACCCCCACTAACTACACACGTTAATAAGTACCAGATATACTGAGCGATGTGAGCATCTCCCAAGGCGAAACAACCATAGCGCAGCTCCTTGTTGAATTTTTAAAAACTAGTATCGTTTTCAAGTTTCATCAAGGATCGGGAAAAGAGAAGTTGTG